ACCAGGTGCCTTATGTTTCTTCTGATTACTGTAGCTTCACAATTTCTCCTTGTCGGTTGATAACGGCCTCATACACACCGTGTCGCCAGACTCGAGGCCAGCTAACACCTCGTCATCGTCGCCGTCGTCGTCACAGTCGTCGTCGATAACGTGCTCTATTAACGCCATATGGTTGGCGGAGCCAGCGAAAGCGACCAAAGGGTGTGTTAAATGAAGGTTGTCAGATATGGTGACTCCTTGATAGAAAAATTCATCCAGCTACCTTTTCCAAGACAACACTATAGTTTCTAAAATCCATTCTTAGCCTAAAACACTAGGTGCGGTTTGCAACTTGTCATTCATAAAGCTAACAGTTTCAGATTCAGCAATGCCAGACACCCTTACCTTGATAAAGTTCAGTTCGTGACATGTTTAAGCAGCTTAGAGTGGCCTGACATCCTCATCAATAATAAAGAAATTAACATGTTTTCTTATCTCACCCCTGGTATATCTGAAAGGGAATTTTCCAATAAGATCCATTGTAGATCCAGTATGCATCTTGAGCGTTGCAGATGTTTTCTTCGAATACAAATCTTTGGGATAATCCCAGATGAGTGAAAATTATTTCAGAGAGAGTAATTTGCAGTTTGCTCAACAATCAAGCTGAATTGTCACATCTCAACAGTTATTTGCCCGCATATTTGTAAACAGTTGTAAAGGACAGAACTTCGTATCTTCAACAGCACTGATATTGTGTCTAATGACAACAATAGTGTACTCTTTAAACGAACATTCGTCTAAATCATCATAGTGCAAGTTCCGATCCGCACTTGACTTGCCTGCTGGACAGTTCACGGTAAAATGATCGTTTTCTCCACATCTGTATGTATTAGCCTGCTGGCCATAGGCAAAGCTTTTCATCTCATCTCTCATATATCTCCTACCACAGAACTTGTAATCAGTTTGGTCACCTCTACTCGCCGGTTTCTTTCCTTCAGGTTTCGCCGTGAGAGTCCTTCGTCCCTGTTTCTCAACGCTTGACTTCCTGAAGATTTCGCATTTGCTTCAG